TGGCCAGCACTAGGTCCAACAAGGCGTCTCCCCTGGTGGGGCTGTGCACCTCCTGGGTTAGATGGAGGTCCTGCATTCTGGCTAAGAACCTACGTGAGTGGTCAGACCTGGCTGACTGCTCTTCCCAGCAGATGTCCAGGAAGTTTAGGTCCCCCATGACTACCACATCCTTAGACTTCACTACCTCCATGAGCTGACCTAAGAATTCCTGGTCAAGCTCTTCCCCTTGGTTGGGAGGTCTGTAGTAGACCCCCACCGTTAAGTCTCTTTCCTGAACTTGGAATTGAACCTATAAGCTCTATATTCCCTTGCAGAATAGCAAATAGCTATGAACCCCACTAGTAAAATAGGTTTCTGTCAGGCAAATGAGGAGAATGGCTTACTATGCTAGGAGCAGCTCACAAGACAAAGATTTGCTTTGTGGATTCAAGGGTTCCGATCTTGCCAATAAATTGTGTCACGGAGGGGTAAACATGATTCCACACAATCAATTTTTTTTCTGTTCTCTTAAAGGAAAATGAATTATAAAAGCACTGAATGTTAAAAGAAAATTAAGGTAGCAAAGCTGACAGCTCTGCTTGTGGAACACGTAGTATGTGATCATAAAATTAAAGACAGTATCATACACGCTAGGGGGCTGAATTCAAGTTGCAAAAGGAAATTTTATTTAATTCGGGCATCTCTCAAACACATATGTAGAACAACTCTGAAAATGAGTGGAAAGTCAGGCATGAGATATTTACACAAAAGAAATTAGTCTACATTCAGCAGTTTGTACCACTAAGTATGCAGGCAATTTGCCAACAATAATTATATGTTATGCAAATAAACACATTTCATCATAAAGAGAAAATTATAGATTAGCATCCTTAGTTTGTTTCTTTTGGTCTCTTACCACACCATTGGAGCTCTGGTATGGAATCTCTGTACATCTTATCAATGGTGTAGCACTTTCCTTCAGCAGAAAGAGAAAAGCTTCTATTGGCTCTTTGGGCATAGAAAGATGAGCACATAGCTTGGCATTATTTACATAGGTTTTGTGTAGCAACATAAATTACACTGGGATTGGGAAGGGACAGATGTGCAGCTATCCTGTGGTAATTTGCCCAGTGGGTGGCTATTACTATGCCAAGCCACTAGTTGGTGAGGGTGCAGGTAAATAGCCTGATAGGCTTTCACAGATGGCTGCTCAGGGGTAGGCAGATTTAAGTTAACTTAATATAAATTATACCAATAGTGCTTTACTCCTGTCTATTTTAAGGGGTAATTAATTCAGAGACTTGTGTTGCATGTTCATTACTTTTTTTACACTGGTGTAATGCTAATTACAGTCGTGTAAATGTCTGTCTGTATCCAGTGTTAGTTGGCACAGTATCTATTGCTGATTTTTTCAGCTGGATAAATAAAAATGACACTTATACATGAAATATAGAAGTTCTGAATGTATAATCTCTATTATGTAAACCCCTCAGCCTCAAGAGTCAAAATTTCATATTAGACTTGCAGCTTTTTTTTCTGCAGTAGTGTCATGCCTTTAGTTTGTCCTAACAAAGCAAGCTGAACAAAATCAGCAGCATAAATGATCCAGACTTGAAATTACACTGTCAATTTTGGACATTTTCCCCATGGGAAAACTGCTTCATATTTGGAAAATTTCTTTTGTGGGACAGGAGTAGAAGAAAGCAATAACATTTCAGGCAACATTTGCCAATAGGTCAGCTACTAGACAATCTACTATCTGAGAAGAGGTTAAGTAGCAGCTGGAGGTGTCACAAATTGTATTATATTCCCTTGACTTTTATCTTGTCAGGAATTGAAGGGGGGTTATAAATGTAAAGCAGCACAGATCCCCAAAATAAGGTTGGGATAGGTATTGGTTAAAAGCAGACAGGGTTTAAGTAATCACCTGCAGTTGAACTGAGACTCAGATGGGAAGTAGGAAGTGCTGTGCTCAAGCTTCCTGTATAAATACATGTAGCTTTCTCACTGCTACTGCATGCAAGCTGTGACGTGCTTTTTAAGATATAATGGCAACATGCTCTTAAAAGCAGGGAGGGGATTATTTATTCGTGTGGCAAAAGGGCTGGGAGACAAGTCCTGTTACAGTCCTGAAGAGTGCAAAGCTGTCAGACACACAGCTAAAGGAAGAGAGTGTGTGTGAGAGAAATCTGTTTCTGCTTTAGACTGTAAGCTACAGTGGTTGTGACATGAAGCTTTGGAGCACTGAAGTGTGAGTGAAGCTATTGAAAAGTCAAACAGCTGGGAGTGAACACTACCCTCCGTTCAAGGTATGTTAGGAGATAGCTTGCTCGCTCGCTCGCTCGCTCTCTCTCTTTATTTTTTTACAATTCATTTTTCCTTATAATGTAAGACAATGAATTGGCTAAATGGCTCTGCTTACAGTGCTTGACTGGCAAGAAAGGTAAGAAAATGGAAAGGTGAAAGAACTAGAAAACATTTGTGTGTGATGTTGACCTAAATCTGTAACTATATGGTGTTTAAAACAGCTGAGATTAGAAGAAATCTTGCAAACTTGACTATCAAAGGCAGAGAAAATGAAATATACATTCAGTCCTGTTCAAGAGAATGATATTAGTTTTGTCAAGGTAACTTTTTAAAGAAATATCTTCATGGTGTGTTTGAAAATGCTGCAGTACTAGGGCATATTTGTGTGTGTGAAAGCAGTGACTAAAATGGCATACAGTTAGGCTTATCTGTTAATAGCTTAAATATAACAAGATGAACAGAGGCTGGTCTTAAAACACATGGATTTTCTGCTGGTTTAAAAACACTTTCCAGCATAAAGTAGCTGGATCAGGAAAAACAGAGGACAGATCTGTGTGCTAAATATTAGTGCATTCCTCTAATTCCATTCAGAGTTTGGGGATATTGAGATTAGGCAAGCAAATCCAACATTTGCAGTATGTATGAACACTAATGCAGATTATTTTCTAAAGGGAATGAAACACTGTGCATTTGCTGGTGTAAATATAGTGTTTCCTCTTTCTCATCTTAAGGCTTTCTCAACACAAGATTACTTCAGTAATAAGGATTCTGTACTCTGGCTTCTCAGTTTTAAGGCTCTGTATTCTAGAGAATACAAGGCATACTGCTGTTTATGGTGTACTTTTATATCAAATGTCCTTGTTCATGGAGCACTATACATAGTTCAATATTTAGAAAGACTATAGTTAAGGAAACAGTGTAGTGTGGCTTTCCATCCTCCTGGTAAATAGAACATGAATGTTTTAGAAGAGGAGAATTGTAGCATAACAGGCCAGGACTGAAATACCCAGATGTGCTGAAATTACTGAGTGGTACTTACATTCTAGTAGTAGGGGTGGTGCTTTGCTTGTGGGTGGCTTTGAGGTCTAAATAGCTGGTTTGGAGTACTGTGTTATCTTGAAACAAAAGTTTCATAATCCAGCCCTTAATCCTTTCTGAACTAGGCACATTGGCCTTGTGCTGTTCTCACTTAGTGCTTGTCTACACATGGAAGTGTTACTGGGGGGCATGTCTACATGAGACATTTACTGCAGAGCTGACTAATTAGCTCCCCGGTAAAAGTCTGAATGTCTACACATCCAGTCCTATTCGGCTGCAATAAACTAATGAACTCCACCATAGGATAGTACTTGTATTTACAGGTACATGTATTTGCAAGTACTATCCTACTTCTTGAGTGCACAACAATGCATGTGTAGCTGCTGAAAGGGCTGGCTGGACACCAGCCAGCCCCTCCACAGCACATTGGAACAGCCCCAGGCTGGCAGGCTGATGCCCCGGGCCCCAACTCAATGTGCTGCGATCCTGGGTGCATGTTTTAACGTAGCACCTAGGAGCAATAAACTCTGATGCAATATGTGCTGGAGTTCATTGCTGTGTTTTTAATTGCATGTGTAGATGCATCCTGGGTGTACCAAAATAAATCCCTTGGGTGTAAGAGTATCTAAACTCCCTCCCAAGCGACACAAACTAAACTGAATCAAGGCACTTACGTGTCCACGTAAGGGTTTTCATTGTAAAATGATAGCAGTTTAAATTCAAGGCATAGGCCATATTAAAAAAAACAAACAACTCCCATGCAAACAATGTTTAAAACTATTGTAAATCATAAAAAAGTTACTCTTTTTAAAGTACATAGAGCTATCTCCAGGGTTAACTAGTGAGGGGGAGGAATTAGACTTTTTGTTCCATGCAGCTAACTGCACAGTACTATATCTAAAAACAAGGCCCTGTCTGCTCTTTGGATATTAACCTGAATGGCTTGTGCATGAACAGGATTTAACTATTGCACAAAATTTCATTCCACACCTTGTTGAATTGCATACTGTGTGATGGTTATCACCAGACATGGCTACATTTCTGTGTGTGAATGCACATACGTGTGCATGTAGCTCATGAAGCACTCTGCGGTGAAATGTATTGTATAAATAAATGGAATCTGTTATTTCGATTTGGTTTATCTCTTTAACCAGGTTTTTAAGGCAGTCAGATGATATAGGGCTGGGTACAAGGAAAATGAAAATGGGAGGAGTATATCTATTGTTTCTATATATTTGGGAGATGTAACCTGTCCTTAACACAACATAAGATATTCAGAATATCCCCATGAGAAAGAAGTGTGTCACTTTGCAGGGGAACAGAAAGAGCTATCATTTTAAACTTGGCTCTTGTTCTTTTAGTATACCTCATACAATGCCAATGATATGAGTCCTTCTGAGGAATTCCTGTTAGTGTCTGTGGGAGTCCCACATATGGAATACCTATTGGAGTAAGTCTTTGGTACATAGTTTTAAAGGTCCCTAGATCTTCAACTTCCCCCTCTTGTGTTTTTTTTAGGGAAGAAGATTTATTTTGATTTATCTAAAGGTGTGGACAGATGAAACAGCTACACTCCTCTGAGGAAGGCAATTACTGCACTGCAGCTGTAGTATAATTGTTTTATCTCTCCACTCCTAACCCACAGTAAGTGAAGTTAAACCATAGTAATTCACTTCATTTCAGTAAGGCATTATTTACTGTAGCTTAACATCACTTACTGTAGTTTAAAAGCAAACAGATAAAATAGTTATGCTGCAACAGGTGACACTCTCCCTAGTTAAAAGGTATACTATAATTGTGCATCTGTTCATACCCTAAAATTTATACAGTGCCTAAATCCTAGATGTATCAAATACATAAATACCTCCTGAGCTGGTAGCGTTATGAAACGTAAGACCATTATTGCATTCTCATACTCTTATTATGTTCACATGTGCTTGTGGTATCCACTTAAGGCACATTCCTAAGTCAGAGTTATCCTGAATTCATAGGACATATCAAAACAGAGACTACTTTCCAGGCAACCCCTGCTTAACGCTCTTAATTGGTTCTGGGAAAACTGAGCGTTAAGTGGAACCCATTTCCCCATAGGTATTAATGTAAATAGAAATAATTGGTTACTGCTGCTTCTTACTGTAGCTTCTCACGATTGCTGCTGCCTCTCCCCACCCCTCTGCCTGCCTACTGGCCACTCCGGCCCCATGTGTCAGCCCATGGCCTGTGCTCCTGCTGGCTTTGGCACTCTGTCAGGGGCCCTGCACTCATGCCTGCCCCCCACTTGCTGCTTCTTGCCACTGCCGCTTCTCCCCCCCACATCCCCCAGCTCCTGCTGCCCCACCCTTGGCCCCTGCTGGCTCTGGCCTTGCGGCACCAGTGCAGCCCCGAGCTCATTCCCGCCTGACCACTTGCTGCCACTCGCCGTTTCTTGCCACCGCTGCTGCTTCACTGAGCGCTATAGTGAAACTGACTCAGTGCTAAGTGAAATCTGGTATTAATTTTAAATGAGTGCTATAGTGAAATAGCACTAAGTAAAATTGCATTAAGCGGGGGTTGCCTGCACCTTCTACTTGATGGCGAAAACTACTCCCACAATTTACTCCCTACCTTTATAGATGGACCCCTGAGAAATGGGTACATCTTGTTTTTGCAGGATCTACACTCTGAGCAGTGCACTTTCCAGGGTTTCTTTATTACCTAGTAAAGATAGAAATAACTAGAGATACGGTAGTATTCTGCTACCTTTATTTACAAAAGCACATTTTTTTAAAAGGAAACCAAGCTAAACAAAGCAGAAGAAAACAATAACCCAGTGACATCAGACCCAGCCTGTATCAATTCATATTTTCTTCTACAACAGTATTGAGCACCAGTTCTAGACTCCTGGCCTCCATACTCAATTGAGAAAAGTGCAGGTCTGAGGACTGTGGTGCACTGAAAATTTACCCAGTGTTTCACAAATATTTACAGAGGTGCCTGTGCCAAATAACTTTGTGCTGATCCACTAAGAAAATACAGTGTTCAATTCTCTCTCTCTCATATAAATGGTTTCACTTCAGTGGGAACTGAGTGGACATTAAATTAAAGAAGTAGATCAGTGCTAGACAATATTAAGGTATTCATTAAAAAAATAAACTGAAAGGGCTAAATTATAAAGGACCTCATCTTGCCCTCAGTCAAGCAAGACTTCTATAAAACTCCCATTGACTTCAGTGGGAGCAGGGTTAAGGCAGCACAGAGTAGAAATTTCAGCTAATTAAGAAGTGATGAATTGGGCTAAAAGCATGGCAAACACAGTGATAGTTTTAAATTTAAAATACCTAAAACAAAAAAAAAAATCCTCCTTTGTTGATTTTCCAGACTCTTGGTATCTTCACATATAAATGTACAATGAGATCACAGTTCCCCATTGTTGTTTCTAAGTAGATTAAGAATTTTATTAAGGGCACTGGTAGAATATTTTGTACTGTTGGTAAACACTCCCCACCCTCAAAGGAAAACCCCTCTAATGTATAAGTGGTTAGGCAAACCCTGTAATTAGAAAGACATTTCAGCTCCTTATGTAATCTTTCTCAAAGAGCTGAAAACCCACACATACGTGTAGTTCTAATTCATGTACACACACACATATATTACAGGGTTTGCCTAACCACTTATACATTAGAGGGGTTTTCCTTTGAGGGTGGGGAGTGTTTACCAACAGTACAAAATACATAAAATCCAATCAGAGCAGCCCAGGATGGCAGGGGACCCAGATATAAATTATATCTATATAATATAGATGTTCCTTCCAGATCGGATGGGATTCTATCCCTTCTACATTAATGTTGAACAACTTCATATAATTTTTGCGCACATTGTGGTACCACCATGCCTCCATGCAGGGTAACCCCACTTTCTAGAGCCATCTTGAATCTCGCTATACACAATATTCTTGGGAACAGTATCTTCCTCCTCCTAAAGGGAA